AATTCACACCCATTTGAAACAACAATAACAATTACTACCAATATTGTGTAGCAGCTGTGGTTATATGTTTTTGTAAAATGTGAAGTGTAGCTGGTTGTCAGTCAATGGCCATTGCTAAGATGAATATTCAGAGTGAATCAATAAAGATGAACTTACTTTCAATTGTAACTACATTCATTATGTTTCACAGCCAGTCTGGATGAAGATATGAAAAGTAAAAGAACAGTATTATTTCTAATTCATTCATTGGTGGATGGTTGAATGAAAAATCCTCTCCCTGATACTGTGATGTCTTGCTATTTCTGTTCAGCTGAGGGGTCAGGGCATAAAAATGGTCATCAACTGAGGACATCAGTAGTAATCAATTTAGTGAGTCTAGTCGATGTTGTTATGAATGACAAAGTGGAAGATAGATATCATGGTTTATGTCAGCAGAAGTTTTTTTTTGTCACATTATCAGTTAGATACAAATACAGTTACAGGGAAACAAGTGATACTAAGAACTATTCATTACAAACTTTGCCATATATATATAATAAGTAGTCACTAAAAGAACTAACAAAAATATATAACATTTATTCATAGATTTATTTAATTTATTTGAATTTTTGTTCATCACCTTTTTCTTTCATTTTAAGACTTTTTCTTTTCCACTCCTTTTCCCTTTTTGAATCTTATTGTGTTCCTATTCTTTCAAAATTTCTCACTAATTCTTTTAGTCTTCTATTCACATAGATTTATTATTTCCAACTTACTCTTCATTCACATGTTCATGTGTTCATTCTATGTATGTATAACAAATATCTTTCTTTATCTCATACTTTCTATCTGACTCTCTAATGTTCACTGGCATTGTCTATCATTGTTTGTTCATTCTTTAGCTTGTTTGTTTTCTCTCTTACAAATTCGTCATTTAGGTGGATAGTCTCATTCCATAAACAAGTTAATGTAGTGACTTTAATCTACACTAGGTGTACTATTATTTTAACCTCGTGCCAACCTAAAGTTATGTCAATAACTATTTGGGCAACTAACTTAATGTGATGGTATGTAATCTTTTCTTGAACGTCATTTCATTAATATGTTGGTTTAATGATTAGTGGCTCAGAATAAGAAATTGATGAGCCAAATTCAAATCCCAATTGAATTCATTGCATTCACTTTCATGCAAATAACTTTAGGAAAGGTAGGAATCCGTCTCATCTCCCCAAGCTGTGGGTTAAAGAGTAAGACAGACTGGGCTCTTCAGTCTTGATTGATAATGACTCTAGGAAAAGGACAACTTTGAATTCAAGACAGGTTTGGGCATGAGGCTAGCAACTCCATTCTAGGAAAAAAAAATTACTTACTATAAAAACCACAGCAACAACACCTAGTATGGTAAGGCTGTGGCTCTATACTCTACAGTTGGAGTGTACAGGACTTGAGAGAGAGACTTCATTAGTACAGTGAGTTTGATTCTCATGGGGCGTCCCCCAACTGTAGCCTTGTGTGAGACTAAATTAAACTGAGTGAAAAGTGTAGCTGTTAGAGCCCAATGGCTAGCAAGGATCTGCTGAACCAAGTTGATCATGTATTGAGATTGATCCTTAGTCAGTGGTTTGTGTCAAATTAAGCTGAGTAAGTAATTTTTTAGGGATACCTAACATTTCTCAATTCATAAATCATTTGCTGATATAATGACTTCAACCTCTGTGACCTATTGCCATATTATGCAACCTCTGTGACCTATTACTGTCATATTATGCAAGATGAAGCTAAGCTCCCTAAATAAACATTTTCTCATCCATTTATTTATAATTTCCAATTTACATATTTTATTATTTTCATTCACTGACTTATTTCTTCTTTTCTTTCATTCATTCATTCTCAACAGTATTATTCATATTATTTGATAACCTGCCTTTAATCTTCTATGTACTCTCCCTTCAGAACTTACAAGATCATGGCTCTCCACAACTTCCTGTCCTTTGTAGCTTTTAGCAATTTTTGTTATTTTGCTATTCACTCTACTCCTTGTTTTGTCAACCATTTGCAAAAGCTGACTAGGGATGTTATGTGCTTTCCTCTGTCCCTCTTGCCTACAACATGTTCTGTGAGAGTCAAATTTTCCAAGCCCTTTTTCCACATTATGAACTCTAGAAATTTTGACTGTCTCTGATAGTGATATATAAAAGTAGAAGCTTCCACTTTTACTAGTTATTATGTGTATCAATTTGGTCCAGAATCTACAGCCTGTTAGTTTTATAGTTCATGTGACTAACTTTAACAATTGAAGAGTGTTCAACCTCAAATTTTATGACAAAAAGCAATAGTGAAAAGGAAGAAAAAACAAAACAATGAGAGCTATTTTTAAAATTCCTTAGTCAGGCTATAATCAGATTTTGAAAAGCATGTTTTTCAAAGTTATTTTCATGTTTTATATTTTTAAAATGACAAGCTTTGATTTTTGTAGAATTTAGCAAATGCTAAAACATAAATAAAAATTAAAAGTTAAAAAAAATGCATTTTGTTAGCAAGTATTCTAGTTGAATGCAAATAACAACCATGAAGCAAATTAATCCAGTTACTCAAAATTTAGTAGAATTTTTCTTGTATTGAGACTGGATTTTGGAAATGTAATTGTGCCTTGTTTTCTTCTTAAGAATTTATTTTATCAACAGATGTTTACTGTATGTCTATTATTATAATGAAATGTAAGAGAAGGTTCTTTCTTTAATAATAGTGATAATATTTTGTTTTTCAAGTGTAATGTGACTAGTTATAGTTTTTAGGAATAAATCCAATATTAAATATTGGATTAGCAGTTAATATGTTACTATGTTATAAATATACGCGTCTTTATCCTCAAAATTTTTCTTAAAAGTAACTTCGCCCATTATACAATGAAAGTTTACAGGCTGAAATGATTAATACTTATGCGTCCATGACAAACTAAGAATGAAACATTATGAGACAGAAAATAGAGTAGAGTATTCGTAAAATAACAAATAATGTCTAAATAAAAAGCATCCAAAGTAAGATAGTGAAAGTATTGTTTTGTATCTTTACACACTCAAAGTAAATCTGTTTGCTTGTTAGCATCAATATTATATTCATGCTCTTATCACCAGCAAGTGATAAGCTAAGGTAGCACTTTACTGAATGCTTCTTCACTGATCCTTATCTGCTGATATAGTAGATACCAGTGTTGTAATTATAGCTGGAGTTGTGATAAATACCAAATTAAAATATTTTAAGTTTTTATCATCTTTGACATTCTGACCAAATTTGAGATTTTCGGTAATTAAATTTTGGATTTCATGCAAAGAAGATATAAAAATTAATTTCATGTATGTATATCAATCCCACCTCCTACACTTCACCTGACTCACACAAGCCATAATTTAATTCTACCCTAACTTTACTAACCTAGTCAAGCTAAATTGTTAAATCTTATTGCTTGTCTTTGCCCATTTTCTTCAATATCTGAAGTGTATAACCACAAACTGACCTTTATGATATGGTTATGAAACCAGTATAAGAAGCAGGGACTGAATCTATCGAACAGTGTCTTTGCATGGTCACTACAGATTTTTTGTGGGGTATCAAAGGTAATACTGGATGAAAAAGAGAAGCAATGTGAATGTAAAACTGACACACAGACATTAAAGATTTTACAAGTACAGTATGAAAAGAAACTATTACTTTGCTTTCACCTTTAACACTCTCCATTAAATTATTTCTGGCCAGAAAAATAAAAATTTGATGATCCTTCAGTTTTGAGGGTGAAACTTGAGTTGCCTCAGTTTTATTTTATTTTGTTATTTTTTATCTTCCATTTTAAATAACATAAGATATATACATACATATGCACACAACACACAAAATCTCTGGGGCTGAAAATAAAATGGGTAAAAACAGGTATGAAAATAATCAATTCTTTGGAATTTGGAATGCCACCCAATATTGCAGAATGGCTTCTTTTCCACAGTTAAAAAAATGATTTTCTAAAATAGAATGATCAGATATTTTTTTTTTTTAGCCAAACAATATACATGCATAAACTGCAAAAATCACTAAGAAATATTTTCAGAACAAGTCCATGATGTCCATGTTTTTTGTATGGTCAGAATAAAGATTTGCATAAAACAGAAAATATTTAGTCACACATGAAACACAAACTATCCAAGAATGGAATAACATTAATTATTGTTTTGGTAAGAAGCAATTTGTTAGTTTACCCACAAGATATATAAATATTAAAAAGATGGATTCCATACTAAGTAACTGTATTTATTTGTTTAATTTTTATTTCCTAACCAGTGACTTGTTAAGTGCATTTAGTCCTAATATATTTCCATTTTAATTTTGGTCTCCCCCCCCCTCACTAGAAATAAAGAAATAAATCCCAAACACTGAAATTTGGACAGTTTCTCCATATCCTTAATACAGCTTTAAACTAACACATACACACAAAAAAAAAAATCACTCGAAAATTGAATAGATAAACCTATAAATATTATAAGACATGTTTGAATACATATAATACAATTACTGTAATGAAAAAGGCAGAAGTGCCTCCATAAGGCCTTTATCTGATGCCTATCATGATTTCAGGGCTGAAAAACAATTACCATTAATTCAAGGTCCCTAGGAATACTTCACAATATTACCTTTGTCAATTTTAAAGAAATCACATATACTCACATATATATTATAAACACTTTTAATTACTAAGCTCTGCTTAATCAAGCACCTAGTAATTATTCATTATATGCTAGAGAATTAGTCTGCAATAAAAGCTTGTTAAACATCATTCTACAATAGGTGGTGTGTACAGATGTGTAGTTTCTGTTAAATGCCAGTCCACACAGTTCAAAGAAGGATGGTCCTCACTAAAACCTGCAAGTCATTTTTAATCATTGGTCTAAGAAAGTAGTTGTGTACAACTGACAGTTTAGACATTTCTAAGCAAGTTAGGTACTATGAATGACATCTATATGTAAGCCTAGATCTGA